AAAAAAATAAAAGTAATTAAAAATTAAAGTAATTAAAAAAAGGTAATAATTATTATACGCAGTAATCAAAAAAAAAGGCACTTAAAAATTGAAGTAATTAAAAAAAAAAGTAATTAAAAAAAAAAAAGTAATAAATATCATACCATGAAGAATAATGGATATAAAAAAAAAAAGAAAAGAAATTTCTTCTTCGCTTATCAAAATATGTTTTTATCACAATTCTATTATTCCGTCCAATTCTTTTAAGTATCAATTTTTTAAAATATAAAAGCTTGAAATCAGCACTTGCTATGTATCAATGTAATTAATTTTATTAACAAACTATTTGAATATGATAGTATGAAAAGTTAGCATATTAATAATATGAGTATTTTTTAGAAATAATCGAATAAATATGAATAAAATAATTATAAATATTGATAAATAATCGAAATTATAAACAAATAATTATTCCGAATAGTTATCGGCTTTTTCTTTTTTAAAATGTTATAACCGTTATTAAATGCTTCATTAGCACACTTGAAAAAAAAAAAAAAAAAGAAAGAAAAAGAAAAATTAAAAAACCGATGTTATATTCCTACCAATAATTTATCAGATAAATTAAAACGATAAACAATGTGTTGCATTTCAATAATTTTTGGACAATTTATTTCAAATTTAAATCCGTTATTTTATGGAAAAAAAAATCCTTCCATTTTTTCCTTTGTTAGTTTATTGTGGTTCCATTATCGTTTCAATTATTTTATTTGATATTGTTGCCTGATTTATGTGATCAAAAATTGGTCATGAAAGAATTGTATCCATGAATTAATTTGAAAAAATAGTTTCTGATAGTATGGTAAAGGTTTTATTCATAGACAATGATTATTTGCTTACCTTTGCTTAATTAGACAGGTATAGATAATAAAATTATTTTAGGTAATAAAATTATAGATAATAAAATTAATAAAAAAATTACTTCAAATCAATCAAAAAATTGATTGGGTTGAAGATTGGAAGATTGTGATAAATTTGTTGAGTTAAAAAAAAAAAGGTTGAACGATTGATAAAAATAATAGTTGATTGCCAGGATGATTTGGTTGCATAACTGGTCATTTATAGGTTATCCTAATTATCCTAATCCAGGTTATCCTAATTCAATTTATAGCGAAATTATTTATAACATAGTAATAATTATTTACATTATCATAACCATAAGCTGAATGATTGAATTTAAATTTAAGATAAATTATTATTGAAGTTGTAATTGAGAATTAAATTAGTTTATAATTTGGGAAAAATGAATTTGATTGTAAATTGAATAATTATATGAAACAAATAAGCATATAAATAATTGAATTATATTTTAATCGCTAAGAATTTATTTGCAATTTTCCTGACATGAAATAAACAAATATCTTTGTTAATGTGAAGAAAAGAAGAAATGAAATTTATAAATTTTGCAAATAATTTGATTCGATGATTTGATTCGTATTTTATGATCAAATTGAATTTCTATTATTTT